TTGCTAAAAATTATTGGAAACAAACACATTATCACGAGATGTCAACTGAAAAAAAAGCGGGGGTGGATAACAGGATTTTTGTGCATTTCTAAGATTGCATAAAATATTATGCCTAATTATGCCAGTATTACACTGCCTGTGAGGTGTGATGAATCATATAAAGCTGGAGACAGAAGAAAAGACAGTGTAGTGACTACAAAGCTATTATTACTTTTTTTCAAGGAGCATACTGTTTTCCAAAACTAGTATCGCCATCATAGAAAGGTTTACAGATGAAGCCATTCTGTCAGTTAGATGCTTAGGATCTTCATACACAGAGGAAAACTGGGAAATATCACTATTTAGAAAAAGAACTACTTTGAACATTTTTGTATTCTTGGTTTAGCAATGTTCAAGAAAGAAAAAATAGGAAAAAATGTTCAAGAAAGAAAAAATAGGAATGAAAGGAAGTTAGTGTTTGCCAAAAAAAAAAAACCAAACAAACAACCTGAATTAAAGGTACAGTCCTTTTGATCAATTTTTATTCAAATAAGGTCAAAAACATATTAAGAACTGAGAGGAGTCAATAATGTGCTAGCCAGTATTAAGTTAGTAAAACTACTCAACTGCCCAAGTTATTGTAATGCATAAAACTGTCCCCATGACCAAGACAAGAAGAAGAGGGTCTAAAAGGAGTAGAAAGAGAAGCCCCTGCATCATTGCTTTGACACGAGCACAAGTCCTTGAGAACTGTGTGAGCTAAAAGAGGGTGGCACGTTTGGGTCCAGACAAGAGAAGTCTAAAAAATAAGCAGTCATTGTGCCCTAGAAAAAGAACATGGCTTATTTGGACTTCTATTTTCTTAAAAGTAAGAATAAAGTCTTAAATTAGGTTATATTAAATGCTTTCCACCATGAATAGCCTCTGGCTTTTGTGGCGGAAAAACTATAAATAATGTAGAGGTCTTGTCCGTTTGACCAGTGAACTACTGGTGGAAAGGCAAACATAGCGAGTCTCAGTAAAGAGCTTAGTTATGACCAGATGTCACCCATGTCCATGTCTTTAATTATCATGTATGCATAATAATTCACCATGCCAGAAGTCTCCTTCAACCGCAGGCCAGTACTCTCAATACCTACTCAGTGTCCCCACTGAAGATAGGTCAAGGACACCTAAGATTCAACACGTTTAAAACTGTACCCATGAACTTGACTTGCCTCATTCAACACCCCATTTCATTTCCATGTGCTCCTCTGCCTGTTTCCTCATGCCGAAATTGGGAATTATTCACAGCCTCTTTCCATAGCTGATCAGTTACTGATCTTTAATTCCTGCTGATTTTTCTCTCCTGAGTATATAGAGAATGTGTCTCTAAAATCGTCACCATAGTCCAGGCAAGCGCCAACTCTCTCACGGCAAGCTCTCCACCCGAACACAGGCCTTCTGACCCACATGCCCAGAGAGACAGTTTAGAATAGAAAATTTGGGCAAGCCTCTCCTCTGTCTAAAATCCCTCAATGGTTTCATATTCTTGGACTGAAAATCAAAAACCTCTGAGGCTCTGCAGAAGCTGGCTCTGACCTACCTTAACAGTCTAATCTTCCTCTTCTCCAGTCTCATTAGCCTGCTTGCAGCTCCTTGCATTTGCCAGGCTCCCTAATGCTTTGCAAAGTTCCTCAACCTGCTGTTCCTTCTGCCGGCATGCTCCACTGCCCTTCCAGGGCTCACTTCCAACACCCCTTCCTCCGGTCTTCCCTGAGTCCCATTTCTCCTCCAATGACAGATCTTACTAACTATACCAGGGGTTGTTCAGGTATTTTCCATATATTAATTCATTCTTACTGTGATCCTATGAATAGTGCTCCATAAATATTTTTAAAGAAATAAGATAAAAAGCCCAGGGCAAGAGTACCTTGAAATTCTGTAACTGTACGCTTTAGGAAGTATTTGTCTACATTTAGGGATTTCATGATAGTGATTTGCATGCACTGAGGTCATACTATAAAAAAAGTCAAGTGTTGACAGAAGTAATACCTAGGAAAGGTCTGATTCCTCAAAACCTGGACAGGTCTCAGAGGAAGATATCATGAAATGAAGATGAAAGGAAGAGGACACTAATCATCTGAGAATGTGCGGCTGAAGGCCATTTCGGATGTAAGTGGTATATTCTCAGAGGTATATGATTCAGAAGATACCCAAACAAGAGCTATTTCTTCTAACCTCAGTTGATACCCTATGATGGCTTTTATAGAGGCACTGGCATACTATACCACTTTATATTTTCATCTGCTAAAACAAAATTCTGAAAGAGGTTTTTTAATATGTTTAGTTCACAACATCTAACTAAGCCTTGGAATAAAGTAGCACCATTTAAAAACTATTCTGAATAAAGAAAGCTCTCAGGGAAATTAGTTAGGGTAGTGAATATCTTAAGACGAAAGTCACTGGTGCGCTCCAAACTGCAACAGTGCCTTTTACACACCCAGTATTTGCTGAATCCAAATGAAGAGCAACTTCTTGAACCATTTGGTTTCTGAAGTCATTTACTCCAGTCAGAAAAGAGCAGTGCGCATCCCTTTAACCTGGAGATTTCTGCAAGAAGTGCTGAGTTCATAGGCACAGGCACTGAAACTTTACTCGGTAGAACTTAGCAACCTAGTGAGACTGTGTCTCAAAATTTTAAAAAGGGGATGTAGATCTGGGGATGTAGATCTATGTGAAGGCCCTGCTTGGGTCTTCATATTTAACTCCCTGTATTATATCTCATTCAAAGGGGAAAACACACTACCTACATTTACAACATGAACATTGTCTATCTTAAAGTATTAAGTAAGATTTTCATGTTTGCTTTTAATTGTAGAAAACTCCAAAGATAGTTTTAAAAACAAAACCGGTGGCAGGTATGATGGCACACACCTGTAAGCTCAGCCCTTGGGAGGCTGAGGCAGGAGGATCCCTGAGAGTTTGAGGCCAGCCTGGGCTACATAGTGAGTTCAATGTTGTCTGACCTACATGGTGAGACCCCGTCTCAAAAAAAAAAAAAAAAAAGACCCTGTCTCAACAAACAAATAAATCAAGCAACCAACCAAAGCAAAAACAACGCCCCCATTTAAAAAAAACAGTAAGAGGACTAGAGTTACATTTTATGAAATTACTTCAGACTATAAATGTATATTATCAAATTCTTTAAAAACCTAATATGCCACTCTGAAAGAAGGCGTATAATAAATGTCTCTCATACCCCTTACTCTAAAAAGGACACCTACAGCTTGTTCCTACTTTAAAAATGGTTATTTTATTATAAGAATGAGACTAGATGATCATAAATTGCTATATAATGAGCTATACTTAGGTAATAAATATTTTTATTTCAACTCTAAAAGTTAAAATCAGAAAAACTATTTCATTATATCAATAATCAAAAATTTATAGACATTTCATGCTAGTCCATATATCATTTGTACATCAGAAATTCTTAAACTGTTTTCTAACACCTCTGGATGATTATTTTCTTCCTTTGCTTGACCTGAAAATACCAATGTTACTCTGATCGCCAACATTAAATGAGACACTAGAAAATATCCTAAGTTGCTCAAACAACAATAATTCTTAATTGATTGTTACAGGTAACTGTGTTAAAAATACATAAATTAGCTATCAAAAAAAAAAAAAAAAAAAAAAAAAAAAAAAAAAGGAGGAGGCAGAGGATGCAGAGTTCTGCCCACAGCTCTATTGTTTTTTGCAGTTAATGAGGCGGATATCCAAATAAAGATCACTATCACCCAAAACCACTGTAAGTTCTTTATCTTCTGTTACTATAACATCTTTATGTATTATTAGGATAAAATAATAGAATGCAAAACCAGTAAGCCAATAAATAAGCTGGTAAACATACTAGCAAGACAAAAGAGGTGATGCAAGTTTATTTTCCAAAGGCATGTCAATAGCACAATTTAGGACTGGAAAGGTATAACATCTTTCACTTTGTTGTAATGAGAAGCTTCCACATGCTAAATTAGAAGCTCCACTTAGACATCACGTGCAGCTTAGTGTGAAATGTCATGTTTCACATCACATAAAACTTTTTCAAGGGGAGGGCGTTCCCGGATATTGAACGTAGGGCTTACACAGCCAACTTTCCCCCAGGACCAACCTGATAAAACATTCACTTATCCACTGATTTGAGGTTTGTGCCCATCTATTTGAAACTAAAAGAATCTATTTTTGGTTTTTTTTGGTAAAGCCAGATCTTATTCTACCCACATATTAATGGAATTACTAGCCTTTAGACAGCTAAAATCAGTTTTAAAAAGAGAAGAGTCAGGGTTAGTTAGACACAGCTGCCACAAATATTAATGGAATGGTTCAGTCACTTTTTCAGGAGCTCACCTGTGCTTCAGCTCGCCTGTCCTTTCACCCATTCCCCACGCATTCATCACCAGTGCGCACACATCAGACTTAATGAGCTCTCGCGCCTGCAGCTGCCATCCCCAAAGTGTGCTTTTTTCCCACTCTCATTTTTCACCTCCCGATCCTCTGGAAGAACCACAGTATGGGGGTGTGAGGGATTTTCTTATCCATTTAAATAAAGGGACCAATGAAACTCAGTAAAGAACAGTCATTAGCACAGCCAGAGAATGTGTGCATCCTGGAAGTTCACTGACTGGTTATTGGGGCCATTTCTTTCACCTGGATCACAGATGGCACCAAGTCGTGCATGAGCCAAGCTAGTTTTACTATACTCCTTTCTTGTATTAATACCCAATTCTAATTTCCAGAGAAACATTCCAGAAATTCTTTCTCACGATTCACGTTTTCCTTAATTCCTTAGTCTCATGTCTTTCAAGATGCTCTCCACTTGCTGACAGTCCTCCCTACAACTTTCACAATGTCTTCTCTTCACGCACAAGCCTGGAGACCTAGTAAGCTCCTACCTCTCCAATTTTTGAAAAGTTCACTCCCATCAAAGAAGAAAAAGTTACAGAATTAGGTTAAGAAAATGTGACGTAATGATATCTCACCTGTATCTCGTGCAAGTAGCATTTTGACCCGATGGAGCTACTGGCTTGAAAGTGATATGTGGGGAAACCTGGGCTGAGAGCAGAAATCCCAAGGCAAGAATAACAAGGGCTACAGTGGTACCTAAAAAAAAAGGTTTTATATCAGAGAATAGTTGATATGAGAATAAAATTTAAAGCAAATACAATTACCACCCCAAGAAAAAATGGTAATGATATTCTAAAAACAAACAAAAAGTAAAGCACTTAGGACAGCTGACAATGTTGTTGAGTGCCTACCATATCAGGAAACATAAAATAGGCAACATATTTACAAGCACTTTTTTCAGTGCCAAGAAAATTATTCCACTGTCACTGGATCATGTGAGACCTACCTAAATCAGTAAACTCAAGCTGATTATTTCTAAAGCAGGTGAAAGAATATTTCTTATTGAAAAGGAAAAGCATATTTTTTGAAAAAAAAAAAAAACCTTTTAAATACCAGAAATGCTATAACACTATTCATTTATTTCCTGTATTTCAGAATGTAATACTTATCTTTGATTTGAAGGAACAGGATTGGGATTATGCCTTTCGCTCAGAAGGCTCAATTTTGAGTCCCTGATATACTCAGCTGGCAAATAAGAAAGTTTTCAAATTTCTGATTTAGTCTAGCCACAGGATTGTAAGTATAAACAGAATAGTGTCCCACGAAGAAAGGAGCAATGGGTGCTTTAATTTGTACAATTTATCCATTTAAAAACATGAGACAACATGTTTAAAATATGGAATTTAGGAGGGCATGTATATAGTTGTCAAGATTTTACTGATTTAACTGGGAGGACCAAAAGTACCATTAAAAGAAGAGCATTAAAGAAATTTGGGGAACACTGTGCAGGAACAGTGATTTGAGGTAATGGATGGATGCTCTGCCGAGATGCAGCATGTTAAACACAACGGAGCTGAGGTGCCCTAGGACTCAGAGGACATGGGTAAGTGTGAGCTCTGTCTGGGATGTACCCTAACCCTGAAACCAAATCTTCAGAAGATGGGGATGAGATGTTACCACTGTAGATATAAACTTCTCTGGCAATCTGACCAACTTTGTTGAAGATAACAGTATGTAATATAACAACCACTGTTAATTCCTAACTTTTTTTTTTTTTTTTGGAGACAGGGTCTCGCTGTGCAGTTCAGGCTGGCCTTGAGCTCACGTATGTAGCATAGGCTGGCCTCAGACTTGCAACAATCCTCCTGCCTCAGCTTCCCGAGGGCTGGGATTACAGATGTGCACCACCATGCCTGCCCTATCATTTTGTTTTGAAACCCTGTGTCATTTTTATTGTTTTTGTGTTGCTTTGTTTTTGTCTATGTTGTTGTTATTTTGTTATTGTTTATTCTGTTTAAAATAAAAAAATCTTAAAAAAAGAAACAGGAAGTTATGGAAATTGCAGCATTTACAAAAAAGAAAAATTTTCTAAATAAATTCTGAAAATGCTAAAAATGAGGATATGACAAAATGTTCCACATTTAAAATTATTCACATGTGACATATTTTATGTTTTCCAGGCTTAAACGTAGTTTATTTGTAGCATTTTTGAAAGAATGGAAACCTATTCAAAAATTATTATTATTATTATTATTATTATTATTATTATCATTATTATTATTTTGAGATAGGGTCTTACTATGTAGTGCATGCTGGCCTTGAACTCACTATGTAGCCCAGGCTGGCTTTGAACTCAGGGTGATTTTCCTGCCTCAGCCTCCCAAATGCTGAGATTAAAGCCTCCCAAGTGCCACAACTCTCAGCTTCACAAATTATTCACATGTAAGACTTTTCACCTTTTTAAACCCAGTATAATAAATCACAAATAGGGATGACAGAATCAAACGTTTAAAAATTCTAAAATTTAATTTGAAAAGTAATAAAAAATTAAACTAGAACATTGTTAGTATTATTAGAATATCATATATATACCTACATACAAATGAATAAAACAAAAAGTATAGTGAATTAAAATCAACTGGTATTCAAGCGTGAAAGCCTCATCTATTGTGAGGGTCATTCTGGAGAAACGCTAACACACTAACATAGCTGCGTATTGCTATGGCTTCCTCTGAAGATATAAACTTCCCCTGGTCAGTGTTTTCCTGTGGACCTAGTGGGTCACAATTACAAATAAGAACTGCGTAAACACCACTATTTACAGCCATATGTACAAATAAAAGAGGAAACTTGGGAGAAGAAGGCAGGCCTTCTCCCTCCTAAACTACTCCACTACCCATTCCATTACTTCAATGGATACATGACAAGATCAGATGTCTGTCTGAGGGTTTGCGTCTCTTAAGTGAGAGGGGTCACTGTAAAGTGTCTTAGCTGGAGGAGGGTTCGGCTGAAAAGGAAAAGAAGTCAGGGGAAAAAAAGCCTACAGGTTGCTCATGAGAAACAGCTCCTGAAATTTGTTGGTCTTCCCTTCTACATAGTTGCTTTAGGACTTCTTAATCACTTACCAGTTCAATTATTTTAACAGAGGATGACCATAAACTGCATTTCCATTAATTTTTATAAGATAATATAACAGGAAGTATAAAAGCGACAATCTTACCAAATTTATTCAATACAGGAAGTGACTGGTTGAAATAACACCTGCCTGAGTCCTGCTTTTTTTTTTTTTTTTTTTTTTTGGTTTTTCTCCGGTACCGGGAACCGAACTCACGACCTTGCGCTTGCCAGGCAGGCGCTTTGCTGCTGAGCTAAATCCCCAGCCCCAAGTCCTGCTTGAGACAGTCTGCACTAAATGCGCTGCTGAGCGTCACTCTCCAGGTAAACTGTTAAGTGGTTGCTTGTCAGCGGTACGGTATTGGACTCCTCGGCAAAACACGATGTCAGCTAGAAGAGCTCAGGAGAGTCCCTGGGTTACGATGAGGGAGGCTGATTTTGCAGGGTGGCTAAAATGACAGGCTCACTCCTCAGCAATAACAATGCTGTGATAGCTGAATGCTCTGAGTACATCGTGGTAGGCAGTATCTTAAAAGCTATCCATAAAAGTGTTAAATCCTCATTACAACAGTATAGAGATGGTAATTAATCCCCCCAGTATAGGTCAGAAAATGGAACTTTGCCCAAAGTCATACAATTCAAACTCAAAAACTGTCTGACTCTGTATCAGTAATGCCTCAAAAATTCTGCAGAACTGATAGGAAAGGGCCTTACTGGACTAGGACAAAAAAGAGGCACAGGCCATTAGAAAAACTGTTTAACCAGCAACTTTCCTCAAATCTCAAAAGCCAAATCGAAAATTTAAGCACTTAAATTCTATTTAACAATAGTCCTCTGAAGGCAGCAAATGTTAAAAAGGGAAAGCGTCCATTTAAAAAATCTGAAAGCAGCTATTATCTCTTCATAGTGTTGACCAGAACCCCAGGGGTGAGCAAATTCAATTTCTAGCACACCGTAGGAAAGCATCTGCAACACAGCACTCCTGATGGTAATCCGTCCTTCTGTTTATCTGCCTAAGGTTATGGCTCCATTCACTGCTGGACAGTTCTATTAATCAGAATACTTTTCTTATATTAACTAAAAGTCTATGAACTCATAGATAGCATCTACTATCTTCCATATCTAATGGGCTTCTCTTTAGTTTTTCCTTCAGGCTAACTACCTTTGCTTTCTTCACCAGGTTTATAAACGTGTGTCTTGGAAACCTTATCTATTCCCCTAACCTTCTTCATTGACCCTTATCCTCCCTATATGTCCTGGCTATCTCAATCATCATTGCTCTTTACCCGATTTCCCACCTTTGCCTCAATGAGAATACCAGACTGCCACTGCTCAGGCAAAAACAAGAGATGGAAGAATTCCACTACTAACGGGAAGGTATGCATTCCCAGTAAATTGCATTTGGAATCCAGAGTGCATTTTCTCATCAAAATCTGGAACACATTCCTGTAACCACTATTATATGACTGCTTTAGGTATAATTTGGTTAAATTAGAATTTAGTTAATGCTGTAATGAAAACTATATTTAATGGAAAAAATACTTTAAGTCCAAACATATTTACAAAGGCATTAGTAGAGTACAGCTAAAAAGTAAGTAGGAATATACTTATACATTTGAAAAACTTTGAAAAAAAATTTGTTTTTGAGACAAGGTTTCACTATACAGTTCAGGCTGGCCTTGAACTTACTTTGTAGCCCAGGATGGCCTTGAACTCACAGCAATCCTCCTGCATCAGTGCTGGGATTACAGGCGTGTGCCACCGTGCCTTGCTCAAAACTTTGAAAAATATAAAATGTAACCAATGTCAAAGAGAGTTGTAGTCTGTGATGTGAAAAAGCACTTGTGTTACAGAGAAGTAATAAATGAAATAATAAACAGAAAAGATACCCGAAAGTATGAAAGGTTTTGTACGTGGCTATCATAGAAAACACTTAACTAACCAAAATTTAGTCTATAATTTAGGGTTGCTTTCCACACCAAGATTACTGTCCTTACTTTGTGAAAAAATTGTATGAATCCACTGTTGGAAGAGATTTGGAAAAAAATGCCCCAAATTTGTTTTCCTATCATCCCAAGTTTAAATATACTTAAAAAATACAACGTGTTAAAAAGTGAGTTAATTAATGCCAAATTTTTCAAAGACAGATAGATATGATCACACCTTTCATGTTTGTTCCTGAGGTGAACTCCAAACACACAAAGAAAAATCCCTTAGTAGATCCAGATGTTTTCTTTCTTTTTCTTTCTTTTTTTTTTTTTTTTTTTTAATTTTGAGACAGGGTCTCTCTGTGTAGTGCAGGCTGGCCTCAAACTCATAGTGATCCTCCTGCTTCAACCTCCCGACTGCTGGGATTACAAGCAGGCACCATTATGCTCAGTTTCAGATGTTTTCTCACAACTCATTTGTATTTACAATCTAATTTCTAGTCACACATCATAAATTTGTAAGGGTCATGCTTTTTAATTAAAAGTTTTTGTGTCTATCACTCTAATTTTATACTGTTTGGTTAAGAAACCAGTAATAGAAAGTATATCTGTCTCGGAAGGTCAACTGTCATTAGGAAGAAGTTTAAAAGTGAATTCTTCATACATGTACCCACCTGCTAAACTCCCAAAGGTAAGCTTCCTGCGGCCCACTTTCTCAACAAGCCACACTCCCACAAGGGTGAAAATGAAGTTTGTGAAAGCTGTCACCGAAGCCAGCCATATTGCGAGTCTATCATCTTCCACACCCGACATCTGCAGGATGGTTGCACTGTAGTACCTGTAACACAAAGAACAAGTGTTGCTGATTACTTTTTTTTCAAGCAAGTTGCTCCGAGAGAAAAAAAATGTAGATACCTCAAAAAAGAAGAATCCCGGCTAGCTACAGTAATATCAAGTTATCAGGAGAGCTCAAATGAGCTTTTTAAAGGATCACAATACAGAAATTGTGTTCAGATATATTCATTTTATACTTTCTATAATCAAGAAAAGAGGATAGACTCAAGCAAGTGGATAGAGAGTGTTACGGTTTCCATCCACAATGCCCCCTACAAGTCTTGTGTGGGAGGTAGGCTCCGGCTGGAAGGGATGGGTCACTGGGGATGAGACTTGGATGGTGCATGCTTGCTGGCTCCTCCTGTCTCTGTAGTGGCTTCCTGGCCACTATGATGTATGCAGCCCTTCCACTGTGCTGCCTCTGCCTTGGAGCCCACTGACCATGAGCTGAAACTGTGAGCCAACATAAACTTCCCCTCCTTTTTCACTGTAGGTGTTGGGTATTTTGGCCCAGCCATAAGATAAGTAAAGCAGAGACAGGTACCAAGAGTGCAGTAACTGCTGTGACTACGCCTGACCATGTGATTCAGATGCTTTTGGAACTAGCTTTTATAAGGATTTAATGTTTGCTCCTGCTGGTTTTCAGTCTTGCTTTGGCCTGACTGTTTTCTATTTCCCTAGTCAACTCTTTCAGAATAGGACTGTTAACCCTATATCATTGCATACTGGAAGTGTTTATCTTTCTTTTGGATTTTTAGCGGGGCTCACAGCTAAGAGTATGCCCTGAGTCTCAGAGTAGACTTTAGAACTGGAATTTTCAGCAATGCTGAACTATTGAGACTTTGGTCTCAATAGTTATAGATGGACTAAATAGTTAGAGATGGACTAAATGCATTTTGCCTAATAAGGTAGAAATGAGCCTTTTAGGAGCCAAAGATGGAATGTTAGGATTTGGATTGAGAATGTCCCCCAAAGTCTCATATTTGGAGGTACAGACTGCTTGGAAGAGGTGGGGCACCAACGCCTGATTTAGGAGGGTACATTCCTTTCTCTGGCTCCCCTCTTTTTCTCTGCTTCCTGGCTGCCATAACATAACACTTCCACCATGCCATCTGCCTTGGAGCTGGATGGCCATGGAGGAAACCCATGAATCTATGAGCCCAAATAAATATCTCCTCCTTTTAAATTGTAGATGTCGAGTATCTTGTCCCAGTGACAGGAAAGCTGACTAATACAGAGGGCTGAAAGCTTCCAAAGTAAAGCATATCCTATTACTAAGGAGAATGACAGCTGGTGATTTACCAAGAATAAGCTCCAGGTTGATGGTATGAATCAGAAGTCATTGTACACTGTGAACTAATGTTCTAAAAAGAATAAAGTGACTCACTGCATGAAATAAGAAAATGTGATGAAATGGTAGAAATGGAACATGCAAAGGATTTTCTCTCCAAATAATACACAAGAATGTGTTAGGACACATCCAGTATTGTATAAGGAGATGACAATGTGGTTTATGTGCATGACAATGGTGTGGTTCCTGGAAAGGTGGACTATGATCATGTTAAACCTCTAGCACAGTCTGCCTGATTAGGCTCTGAGACTCATTTTGTGCTAAATGAGTTCACTGGAGACTGCTTTTTTAAGACTATAATGTAAGTTTGTTGGTGCACATTATAAGATATGTCTGTCACATTTCAGGATGACAGGTTTTTCATAGAACAGTTATTTTCTGGTGAAAATGTTAGCAGATATATAAGCTCATTACTTTAAAACTGACCTGAAGACAAAGAAAGCAAAAATACTCCTATTGATTCATGATGAAATGTAGTAGAATTTAATTCCTAAAGGCACGTTCTACTCTTGTTTCTCTTCAGATCGAATAAATCTTTTGCCTTTTACTAAAGGCACATTCTGAAATATGGCTTTTCCTAGCATTTTTAGGCATTCTAAAATAAGTTCACTTTAACCCAAATCCAAAATAAGCATCCACGCAGTATATAAAATCAAGCTGGTATGGCCACAGTTAAAAATTTACTTTCCAGATACTTATTAACACTTTCATATATTTCAAAACTCAAATCTTTTAAAAATATGTTTGAAAGAGATAAAGAAGGTCACTATATACTTGTGAGGGGAAAACTTCAAGAGGAAGAGATAACAATGATAAACATCTATGCACCAAATACAGGAGCACCTAATTATAAGGCAAATTTTAATAGACTTGAAAAATGAAATAAAAAGCAACACAAATATAACAGGGGACTTTAACACCCGATTGTCACAAAGAGATAGATCAACTAGATAAAAAATCAGTGAAGAACAGAACTAAACCAAACTTGTGAACAAAAGGACTTAGTAGATCTTTACAGAGTATTCTACCCAACAGCATCAGAATACACATTCTTCTCAGCTACACATGCGATGTTCTCTAAAATAGACCATATGCTAGCATATAGAACATGATTAAGTAAATGCAAAGGAATTGGAAGTACCCCATGTATACTATTGGACCATGGTGCAATGAAATGGGAAATTAATGACAAAAGAAATCACAAAACTCCATAAACACATGGAAATTAAATAACACCCTCCCGAACAACCAGCGAGGCACAGATGAAATCGAAGAAGAAATTAAACACTTTACAATCAAACAAAAATGTAGATACAACTTATAGAAACCTGTGGGATGCAATGAAAGCAGTTCTCAGAGGGAAATTTATAGTGGTGAATTCCTACGTCAGGAAAACAGAATGAGCACAAAAAAAAAAAAAAAAATCTTATGCTGCACCCCAAGCTGCTAGAAAAAGAAGAGCAAGTCAAACCCAAAGCCCAAAGAAGACAGGAAATTATAAAACTCAGGGCAGAAATTAATTCAATGGAGACTAAAAAAAAAAAAAATACAAAGAATTAACAAATTGAAGAGTTGGTTCTTTGAAAGAATAAATAAAATAGGTAAACTCTTAGTCAACCTTATCAAAGAAAGGAAAGAAAAACCTTAAATATGTGCAATAAGCAATGAAAGGGGTGAAATTGCTACAGATCCTGTACAAATTCAGAAGATCATCAATACCTACTTTGAAAATCTTTCCTGTCATAGGATGGAAAACACAAAGGAAATGAACAGATTTCTAGATACATATGAATTACTAAAACTGAATGAAGAAGATATAAAAATCCTGAATAACTCAGTATCAGCCAGAGAAACAGAAAATGTAACAAAGAACTTGCTGATGAAGAAAAGCCCAGGACTTAACGGATTCACAGCTGAATTCTACAAGAAATTTGGAGAAGATTTAACACCAATTCTTCTCAAACACTTTAATGAAATTGAAATGGTAGGAATTCTCCCGAACTCATTTCTGGAGGCAAGTATTATCCTGATACCAAAACCAGAGAAAGACCCAACCAAATTAGAGAACTACAGGCCAATCTCTCTAATGAATATAGATGCAAAAATTATCAGAAAAATACTAGCAAACAAAATACAACAAATCATCAAGAAGATTATACACCATGACCAAGTGGGATTCTTCCCAGGAATGCAGGGATGGTTCAATATATGCAAATCAATTAATGTAATACACCATATCAATACAGCCAAAGACAAAAATCATATGAACATAAATGCAGATAAGGCTTTTAATAAAGTTCAACACTCATTCATGATAAAAACCCTACAGAAAACAGGAATAGATGGTCTTTTACCTCAATCTGATCAAAGGCATTTATAACAAACCAACAGCCAACATCATACTAAATGGTCAAAAATTGAAAGCTTTCACTTTAAAATCAGGAACAAGACAAGGATGTGCACTGTCACCATTCCTACTCAGTATAATTCTGGAAATATTAGTTAGAGTAATTAGACCAGAGAGAGAAATAAAAGGCATAAAGATAGGAAAGGAAGAAGTGAAATTATCATTATTTGCAGATGACAAGATACTCTACATAGAAGACCCCAAAAACTCCACCAAAAGGCTTATAGATTTAATAATCAAATTCAGCAGCATAGCTGGATACAAAGTCAACACTCAAAAATCAATAGCATTCCTGTACACAAACAACAAACACACTGAGAGAGAAATGTGGGAAACCACACCTTTCACAATAGCATCTAAAACAATGAAATATTTAGGAATCATTCTAACAAAAGAAGTAAAAGACCTATACAGTGAAAATTATAGTACTCTGAAAAAAGAGATCAAAGAGGACTTCAGAAAATGGAAAGATACTCTTTGCTCATGGATAGGAAGAACTAACATTGCAAAAATGACCATACTCCCAAAATTGTTGTACAGATTCAATGCAATCCCAATTAAAATGCCACTAGTATACCTCACATATCTAGAGAAAACATTCCTAAAATTCATTTGGAACCAGAAGAGGCCTAGAATAGCAAAAGAATCTGGGGAAAGGCAGGAGGCATCACAATTCCTCACTTGAAATTATACTACAAAGCTACTGTGACAAAATCAGCATGTTACTGGCAAAAAAAAAAAAGAGACCTAAAGATTAATGGAACAGACTAGAAGATGCAGACACAACTACAAAAACACACTCAGCCACCTTATCTTTGACAAAGGTGCCAAATATACTCACTGGAAGAAAGACAGCCTCTTTAATAAACGGAAAAACTGTCTTTCTACCTGCCAAAGAGTGAAACTAGACCCACGTCTATCACCATGCACTAAAGTCAGAATGGATCAAAGATCTAAATATTAAAACAGAAACACTAAATCTACTGGAAGAGACAATAGGTAAAAATCTTGAAGACACAAGGGTAGGCAGAGAGTTCACAAACAAAAACCAAACTGCACAGGAAATACTTTAAAGAATCAACAACTGAGATCTCATCTTATTGAAAAGTTCTGCACATCAAAAGAAATCACCAACAGAGTAAAAGGAAAACCCATGAAATTGGAAGAAAAATTTTAGCCAACTGTCCCTCAGACTGACTTCTATCTAGAACATATAAAGAAGTAAAAAAAAAAATCAGACCCCAAA